GCAAGATCTGAATTCACAGCAGCCCTGGGGACCAGCTCCCTTCTTCACTTTACATACAATTTCCTTTTCCTTTTATTTTTATTTTTAGAGATTGGGTTCCACTCTGTCACCCAGGCTGGAATGCTGGAATTACTACTCACTGCAGCCTCAGACTCCTGGGCTCAAGCGATCCTCCTGCCTCAGCCTCCAAGTAGCTGGGACTACAAGTGTGTGCCACTGTGCTTGACTAATTTTTATATATTTTTTGTAGAAACAGGGTCCTACTATGTTGCCCAGGCTGGCCTCAAACTCCTGGCCTCAACCAATGCTGGGATTACAGGCATGAGCTACCGCTCATGGCTGAATTTTATTTTTATTTACAGAACCAAGGTAGCAAAGCCACCCCAGGCTGAGCCAGAAATGGTCAGATTTTTACTTTGAGTTTGGCTCTCCTGAAGGCAAGCCCTTTGGACCCGCAGCACAGAGCACGTGGGCAGCAACGCCCAGCGACGGCTCCGGGCTGCCTCGGCCTCAGCGAGCTGGGACAGGCTCCCTGGACAGACTCCCTCCCTTCAAGATTCAGGGAGGTGCAGCGACGCATGTTAATAAGCACACCTCCTGACCTGCTCTGGGCAGACCCTGGGCTTTCAAAGGTGGGTTTTGTTTTCCTGAAGGAAATCCAGAGGACTTGAACCCCACAGGCACTGAGTTCCCGTGGGATTTTCTCAGGATGAATCAGGAAGTTGGTGAGATATTTTCAAAGGCAGGTGAGTCATGTTGCAGGAAAACACCAAGCCTGCTCAGGAGGTGCCTGCCCTGCCTGCCACGCGGCTGCTGTCTTCGCATGTGCAGTGTGGACATTTCCCACACATCCACGCTCGCCAGGACCCTCTGGCTCTTCTGTGTCTCCCCCGACCCCATAACTTTCTGCAATAAAAATCCAGCCCCATACTCCTGCCTACTCCTTCCTCTTAACCAAGGCTGGCATATACGACAGTGTTCTCAACTTACGAGTGAGTTTGAGCTCCCAGAAGTGCATTATCTGGTACTTAGCTCTTTTCCATGAAAGCAAAGCGGGTAGCATGCAGGCTCCCACATCAGCCCCCAGAGAACCCGCACCGTAGCAAGACTCGGATGCAACAATTCAGATCTTAATCCTAGGCAGGAAGGACAGAAGGAGAACACTCTCCTCCCTTTCCATCAACATTTTTGGTGCCAGCCCACTTGTGTTTGGTGTCCTCCCTCCCCAGCCCCAGGGCTCTGCCCCCAGGGACCGGGGCCCTCATGCTACCCTAACTGCCCCTTCTCAGGTCCCCCGCCCAGGCCTAGTCCCCATTCCCAAGCAGTCCCCATTCATTCCTAAGGTCTCTGCTACATGTTAGGAGATGGCATCCAGCAGGACTGGCCATCCCATGGGCATTTGTGAAAAGAAGATGCACTTTAACCTCGATAAATCTCAACTAGCCAATGCTGAATCCGTATAAGGAGGAACAATGACATATTTCAAATTGGGGGCATCTTTGTGCACAAGGAGAGCTATATTGAAGAAAGGCCACCTGCTGAGGGTCAGCTCTCAGAGTCAGCTTCTGATTCTTTAAAAACCCCAGGGACCCCAGAGGGGAACGGAGGGTGACATTTCGGAATTGCAACTGCTCTGATTCTAGTCCACACCCTCCATTCACATCTCACATCCCGGTGAGACGGACCTTTCCCAAGGGCCTCAAAGACACAACACGCTGATAGCTCTGCAATAACGGCACGAATCGAAGGCGCAGCTGCGTGCGCTCTTCACGTGCACGGCCTTGTCCAGTGTCCTCCAAGGTAGGAATTATCGTCTCCGTTCCCCAGAGCAGAAACCTGAGGCCCACATAAGCTAGGTAACACTCCAAGGTCACAGAGCTGGCAAGCAGCTGAGTCGGGCTTTAAACCCAGGTAGGGCTGAGTCCTCACCTGAGCTTCCCAGAAGGCCCTGGGTGGGGAATTGAAACAAATCACTGGGGGGCTGGGAAGGGGGAAGAGTGGATGTGATTCACGAGAGTTCTTACCAGAAAGCAGATGACATCTATAAGCAGGACAGTGGGGATGCCACCGAAGGTGACCCCCTGGAGCACGGTGCTGTTTTTGGCCGAGTTGTAGCAGTAAGAGTCATTGGGCCGGTCCCCGAGGCCCAGGCGCTCGCGGGTGGACGCCGCCTCGGACTGCCACAGCTCCAGGAATGGGGAGTCGGTCATCACGGTTGTCCTCCCTGGAGGCAGGACAAGGCGATGGTCAGGACTCGACTTCTCCTGCAGTTTCC